GCATCCTCAACTCACTGGGCTCAGGTGATCCTTCCACATCAGCCTTCTAAGTAGCTGGGACTAGATGTGTGCCACCACATCCAGCTTTTTTTTTTTTTTTTTTTTTGAGTTGGAGTCTCATTCCATCACCCAAGCTGATGTACAGTAGCACACTCACAGCCACCACAGCATCGACCTGCTGGGCTCTGGCAATCCTTCTGCCTCAGCCTTCCAAGCAGCCGGAACTACAGGTGCACGCTACCAAGCCCAGTTAATTTTTGATTTATTGTAGAGACAAGTCTCACCAAGTTGTCCGGGCTGGTCTCGAACCCGCAGGCTCAGGCAATCCACTCATCTCGGCCTCCCAAAGTGCTGAGATTACACGCTTAGCCACTGAGTCTGGCCAATTTTTTTTAATCGCAGAGACAAGTTCTCACCAAGTTGCCCAGGCTGGTCTCAAACGCCTGGGCTCAGTCAGGCAGCCCTCCCACGTCCACTTCCCAAAGTGCTGGGACAATCATGGAAATTTGAACACTGATTGGATATTTGATGATATTAAGGAATTATCACTAATCTTGTATAAGTCTGATAATGGAACTGAATTATGTTTTTTAAAAAGTAGTCCCTGTATTGTAGAGATACATATTAAAATATTTACAGGTTTGAAATGATATGGTGCCTGGAATTTACTTCAAATAACCTGGGGAGTTGACATAATAACTTGTGCTTTAAAAATAATAATAATAATAACCTAGGGAGAGGGGTAAAAATATTTTTTAAAAGGTCATGAGTTAGTAACTGCGGAAGCTATGTGATGGTACCGTGGGGATTCATTATACTATTCTCTCCACTTTTTTTTTTTCTTTTTTGAGTCAGAGTCTCTCTCTTGCCCAGGCTGCAGCGGCACGCTCATGGCCACTGTAGCCTTGATCTGCTGGGCTCGGCGATCCTACTCCGCCTCAACCTTCCAAGTAGCTGGAACCACAGGCACGTGCCACCTCAACCAGCTAATATTTTGATTTTATTGTAGAGACAAGGTCTTGCCAAGTTGCCTAGGCTGGTCTCGAATCCTTGGGCTCAGGCAATTCTCTCACCTTCACCTCCCAAAGTGCTGGAATTACAGGCGTGCCCCATCACGCCTGGCATATTCTCTCCACTTTTATGATCTTTGACATTTTCTTTATTTTTTTCTTAAGTCAGAGTCTCATTCTGTCACCCAGGCTGGAGTGCAGTGGCACGTTCAAGGCCACCTTGCATCCTCGACCTCCCGGGCTGAGGCAATCCTTTCATTTCAGCCTTCCAAGTAGCTGGAAGCATAGGTGCACACCACTATGCCTGGCTAATATTTTTGTTTATTATAGAAACAAGGTCTGGCCATGTTGTCCAAGCTGGTCTTGAACCCCTGGGCTCAGGAAATCCTCTCACCTCAGCCACCTAAAGTGCTGGGATTACAGGAGTGAGCCACCATGCCCAAAAGTTTCTACTTTAAAAAAAGGGGGAGACAGAAGAAAGAGGAAATATCTCCATGCCACATTATTCTATTGTGCGTCAATTATCAATCCGAAAGGTGGGGAAACCTGCTTTCAACTTCATTCTCAAGAAACAGTTAAATATACCCTTGGACTTCCCCTTTCATCGTCAGGCACTACTTTTTCTGCCTCAATTAAAATCTTTCCAAAAGAAGACTTCCACCCTTAAAAATGCTTTTGCCTAAAAAGTCATTTGTTGGCTACCTTTATAACATGTTTGGCTTTAGATCTAATGATTTTCTAATTAATTTAAACACTTTCTGAGTTTTGATACTAAGTTGCTCCTTGAAAGATAAACTGATCAATTTCCCTTAGCTTGTCAATTTCTCCATGATGAAGATGGAAGAGGAAAGCACCCAGAACTGTGAGCTTGTGGCAAAGACTCCTCCATCACATTAAAAGGAAGAGATTTTGGCCTGGAGTGGTGGCTCATGCCTGTAATCTCAGTATGTTGGGAGGCTGAAGCGAGAGGACTGTCTGAGCCCAGGGGTTAGAGACCATCCTGGGCAACTTGACGAGCCCTCGTCTCTACAATAAATCAAAAATTTACCTGTGTGTGGTGACATGTGTCTGTGGTTCCAGCTACTTGGAAGGCTGAGGTAGAAAGATTGCCTGAGCCCAGCAGGTCGAGACTGAGGTGGCCGTGAGTGTGCCACTGCACTCCAGCCTGGGCAACAGAGTGAAATTCCAACTCAAAAAAAAAAAGGAAACGACTTTGAGAGAGTACCTAGTCCCAGCCCTTGTCCCATAATTAGGCCAAGAAACAATCCCACCCCCAGTCCACTTGGGTCCTTAGGAAAACAACAGCAGCTCTGAGATCCCAACAAAGCACGTATACTTCATCTGTACAATGTTATTTAGTCATTACAACAAGTCTAGGAGACAGAAACTATTATATATTCACATTTTGCTAGAAATTCCAGAACAGTTCTGTAACATACTCTAAATAACACAGCTTTATGTGATAGACCAATATCTGAACCCAGGATGTCTGGTCTCAGGGTTTGCTCTTACACCAAGCTACAGCACCTGGTGGAGGCAGGTTCATGACATCTTTCTTGTGGTATCACTAATATTCCAGTTTTGGAAATATTTTTAAATCATTTGCTTTGGCAACAAAAGGTGAATTATCTCCCAGGAAACCCACCTCACCAGCCCCCCTCATCAGGACCATCAATTTAACAAATCTTGCTCTAGTATAACAAAAACAAAAGGCACACAATTTGTCTTAAAAAGAAAAAAAAGAGCCGGCTCAGTGGCTCAGCCTGTAATCCCGCGCTTTGGGAGGCTGAGGTGAGTGGACTGCCTGAGCCCGCGGGTTCGAGACCTACCTGGGCAACTTGGCGAGACCTCATCTCTACAATAAATCAAAAACTAGCCAGGCGTGGTAGCGCGCGCCTGTAGTTCCAGTTACTTGGAAGGCTGAGGTGGAAGGATTGCCGGAGCCCAGCAGGTCGAGGCTGCGGTGGCTGGGAGCGGCCACTGCACACCAGTCTGGGTGACAGAGTGAGACTCCAACTCAAAAAAAAAAAAGAAAAAAAAGATTCACAGAGATAACTTTAAAAGTTAAAAATCAGCTGGGCTCAGTGGCTCAGCCTGTAATCCCACACTTTGGGAGGCCGAGGTGAGTGAACTGCCTGAGCCTGCGGGTTCGAGACCCGCCTGAGCAACTTGGCGAGACCTCATCTCTACAATAAATCAAGAAAATTACCCGGGCGTGGTAGCGCACACCTGAAGTTCCAGCTACTTGGAAGGCTGAGGGGGAAGGATCACCGGAGCCCAGCTGGTCGAGGCTGCGGTGGAGGTGGGCGTGCCACTGCACTCCAGTCTGGGTGACAGAGTGAGACTCCAAACAAAAAAAAAAAACTAAAAACAAAAAAAGTTAAAAATCAAGAGAGAAGTATCCCCTTCTCCTTGCCCCTCTACATGTCTAGAAATGCCAGGGTGGAATGGAAGGCCAGGGCCAGAAGGGCTGGATGCAGGGATGCCTCAGAGGCAATTCCGGAGTGAGGGAAAGCAGGCACTCTGAGAGTAGGCGGGTGCTCCTAAATAAATCCAGATGCCAGAGTGGCTGGATTGTCAGTCAGGGGCAAGCTGGGAGACTTCCCTGAGTCACTCCCATCTCCACATACAATATCCAGGAATGACTTAGCACCAAACACCAATAGAACTCTTCAGAGGAAAGGAAGGTCAGAGTCAAGGGACTAAACTTCATAAACAGATGAACTGTCCACACCCACCTCCCTCTTACTTCGAGCATCTCCAGCAAAACCATCCCCTTGCTGGTGGACCACCCCCTCGCTAGTGGGAGGGAGAAGTTTGGACTAGGAAGAGCAAGGGCAAAGCAACAGTCCCCAGATGGGCTTGGCACTGGAGGAGAAGGGAAGGGCCGCAGGGACCTTAAACGATCTTATACGATTAAGCTAGAATAAGAAATGGAAGGGGCTGGAATATGAAAGAATCACCGAAATGTAAAATCCAAGGACCACAGAGGGACGCTGAGAGGGCAACTGGGAACAACAGGTGACTGGAACAGCAAAACAATGGGCGACAGGGGTGGAGGGATTAAGAAGCATGGGGAAGACAAAGGGGCCGGAGAACTGAGGGTCCTCTGGGGACCAGGAGCTACTGGGACAGGGGCACAGGGATCAGTAAACTCGGAATGTCTAGAGATCGAAGTGAATGGAGACAAGGGGCCTGGGTAGAGGGATGACAGGGGACTCAGGGGACAGGAAACAGAGCTGAGAATCAGCGGTCTAGGAGTTAGGAGGGACTGAGACGCTGGAAGTCTCAGAACCCGGGTTCTGATACCAGGGCATGGGAGTAGGAGGACTGGGCGGGACTGGGGGGCAGGGGTCTAAGAGCAGGTTGTAGCTGAGGGACAGGAGGCAGGAGACTAGGAGAGTCCGGCTTCGGGAGGTCAGAGACCTGCAGGTGACCAGGCGTCATGAAAAGGGGAGCGATGGGACGGGGATCTCAGGGGGTGGGGCGTGCAGCTGGAGCGGCGCGAGTCCAGGCGGCCAGGGCGGATGACAGCGGTAAGGGCCGCCACTCACCGCTCATGGTGCCGCT